TCCTACAGTGATGATGGTTAGGCAGACCTCACGCTCATGCACTGTTTGGTTTCTGACAGATAAAAGTCTCCTGCAGAGACAAAGAGGACGAGCACACACAGGTGTAACGCAGCTGTTGTCATATTATGCACATCCATCAATCCGACAGGTGCACATTTTCAACCGTGTGACAGACTTTCAGATTAAATGCTGATCAGATTAAATCTCAAGTTTTCTAAGTAAACCTCGCTGCTGACGAGAGCAGACGTTTTGCTAGCGTCTGGCTCCAGTACAGCTTTTTTTAAGGAAGTGATGTCGGACCTTGGGCTGGACCAATCAAACGTAGTGTACTGTTCTTCAGCGACCTGTCTCATCATCACTCACAGAACTTCAGTATGAACGTGGAGGAGTGGACAGTGTGCTGTAGCCTCCACGTCACCACGGCTGTTTGACCCGCAGAGCCACAGGATGTGCTGGACTTACCTGTGAAACACTGCACAGGTGTTACAGTGAGCCGGCTTTTTTAGGTCCCTTTCAGTTTGTGTCAGAGGGTCTCTGGTTATGAAAGTACAAGCTGAACAGTGTCTGACATGACAGTGTCCTACTTCCTGTACAGACCTGCTGTACAGGAAGTACCAGTCAGGACTGCGAATGAGCATCTGTGGATCACAGGTCACCTGACAGATGTGACGAGAGGAAAGACTCCAGAGAGCAGCACGACCTGCAGCACACAGAAATGTGGTCGTGGTAATCAGCGCTTCGCTTCAGGTCAGCAGGTTAACTTATATTTTTGACCGTATTCATGTGAAACGTCCACAGACACAGAGGCTACAGGTGCAGAGACTGTTTGTCTGCTGAGCAGTGTTGGTCAAGTTACTTGAAAAAAGTAATCAGTAACTAATTACCAATTACTTCCCCAAAAAAGTAATCCCATTACTTTACTGATTACTTATTTTCAAAAGTAATTAATTACTTAGTTACTTAGTTGCACATCCCAGCACATAAAATAAAATATTTTTTGTGTTTTCACTCACTCTTTCAAACAGATGCAAGTAAAACACAGCAGAAAATAAATAAAGTCAAAGACTCAGCGGTGCTGTTGCTCTATTTTCACCTGTAAAGCAGGAGTGGGGTAGGCGGAGGGTTACCCTGGTGCAGGTGTGTCGCGGTCAGTGGAAGAATCTGCGAGTTTCTCTGTGAGTTTCCCATTACGTCGTAGCTACTCGGTGCTTGTTGGAAGTTTAAGGGTTTTTTCGCTGTAAAAAGAAGTTTTCTTCCCACGCACAGCGGACACTAATGTTTTTGTCACTTTTTATGGAATCAAACTCAAAGTAAGGTCAGTACTTCCACGCTTTAAACGCTGCACGCTCATACTCTCTCTGCACTCGATATATGATCCATTGTTGATCTGCACACAGCTGTTGTCACGAACGTCGCACTCGCTTACGTCACTGTCGTGAGACGTTCTCGCCAAAAAAAATCACGGTTTTAGTAACGCAGTAACGCAGCGTTCCTACGGGAAAGTAACGGTAATCTAATTACCGATTTTGCAATAGTAATCCCTTACTTTACTCGTTACTTGAAAAAAGTAATCGGATTACAGTAGCAGAAATGGGCAGTAACGCGTTACTGCCCATTTCTGCTGCTGAGGTCTGAGTGCAGACCAGTGCTGCGAGCCCTTTAAACCAGAACCTGCCCCCGGTCTGAAGTCTCCTCCAATCACAACACGAGACACGCTGATGAAAACGTTTATTCGGAGACAGAAACGGCAGTGCTAGCTCACTGCTAATGCGTTCATGTGAATTCACCTGATATAAACTTTATATAAACTGTAGACACAAGTCATTGCAGAACAGAAGCTGTTATCACTGCGGCCGCCTGCAGTGCTGCGTCATCACTTCCTGTCCAGCACAGAGCCACATGCTGTTCTCGAGGCTCAGACAGGAAGTGGAAGATGTCTACGGCCGCAGCAGGAGACCTTTGAGGTTGTTCTTCTTCTTCTCTGTGTTTATTCACCTGTCTGCATGTAATCGTTAGTTATTATTCATTCAGGTCTTTGTCCTGTCACCCCGCCCCTCCCTGAGCCTGGTTCTGCTGCAGGTTTCTTCCTGTTTCCTTCCCACGGTCACCAAGTGCTTGTTTGTTGGGGGTCGTCTGATTTTGGGGTTCTCTCTGTATTATTCTCACCCGTCTGACTGACGCCTACTGTCATCGTCCTGCTGGTGACTTTGAAACACTGAGGCCATGGATGACCTCTGTGACCCCGAGGTGCTTACATCAGGGCTGAAGGATGAAGAGATCCTTAGCTCGAGTCATCAGAGTAAAACCAGCTGCAGTGCACCATGGGTAGTTTGCTGGTTCCCGGTTTATGAGGAGCGATCACACTACACCCGTCCGTATGTGACGACTCCTAATCTATGAGCTTTTCCCTTCAGTGTCACAGGCACTGATTAGCCCGGGTCAAAGGTCAGCTGTTTTTTTTTTGTTGTTTTTTTTTTTTTCTTTCTAAATGACATCAGAAACAGCAGTATGCGACATTACGTGATGGCAGAGCTTCAGTTCATCCTTTGTCATTTTTTTTTTTTTTTTTTTAAACAAATAGGACAGGGGGAATGAATGAGAGAAAGAGGGGGAGAGAAAGAAAGAAAACCAAAGGGGAGAAGAGACGGTGAGAAGGGGGGGGGGGGGGGGGGGGGGGGAAGAGAGAGAGAAAAAAAAAGAACTCCTGGGTCACCTGTATGGAGAAAAAAAAAACAAAAAACAAAAAAAAACAAACAGAGGAGACAGCAAACAACAAAGAGCAACATAATAATAGAGAAAACAAAGCACCATCACAATAAACTAGCTAGTCATAGATATCAGTATTTACTAAGTAATAAACGATATTGTGCAGCACGCAAGATAGACAGCGCACAATGTGCTTTGAGGCAGCAGCCAAGAAAGCTTTAGTCCGCGTCTGTGAATACCCATGTGTGCATACCTGTGTGGATCAGCATGCTTGCATTCCAAAGGTTTCTCCATGTAATGATCTGCTAGGGAGTGTGGGGGCCACAGCCCCGTCCTCCAGGGTGTGAAGCGGGTATGGAGGAGATCAAAACTCCAGACATCCAGAGGCCCCCAGAACACAAGAGACCATGGAAGGTCAGCTGTTTTAATGAAAGCCTGCAGTAGGGGTGGGTCTAGAGATTTTGACTATGCCGCTCTACTGCGATAGCGCATGTTGATGGTGTCATCAAGCTGCGCCTCTTTTGGTCGAAAGTAGGGCAGGGCGATATGGCCAAAAATATATATCTCGATATAGATTTGAAAATTGGTGATAACGATATAACTGACGATATAATTGATGCGAGACAAAATGCAACTCCACAACATTACTAGCACAAAAAAAAACCACCATCCATTTATTTTCACTTAAACAAGCAGCTGTTTTTATGTGCATTAAACCTATATAAACATTTAACAGTGCAAATGCAAATTCCTTACTGACAGCTTAACCAAAGGCATTTCCAGTAGAAATTGGCTGACATATCCTGAGCATAACCATGTATAATATCCACTGAAGTTAAAAAGAGGTGCTTTGCAACATTAAACTGCAGTGTGCAGTACGTATTTTTCTGACCATAAGGTGCACAGGATTAAAAGACACAAGAAACAAAGCAGTCAGATAAATCAAACTTTATTCAACTCGTTCTTCTAGCTTTCTCCACTTCTGTACCATTGATTCATTAATGCTGTAATCTGTCACAGCTGCTCTATTCCCATGTTGTTGCAGTACATTAATGACTAACCTCGTATTGTGGATGGATTATCTCAGTTGTTCTCCTGGCTGAAGTTTGGTCTGTTTACAGCATCCTGCCATGCGATTGCATTTGTCTCTAACCATCAGGAACCCTCACGTTAACTTTTATCGAGTGGAAAAGTGTTAGCGTTCATCCTCCAGCTTCACTGTTTATGCTAACATAGCTGTGTAGCTAGAGATCACGTAGCACATCATTATATACCAGCTAGCCCAACTTCAGTAACCCTACAAACGTCACTGCTGTTTAGTTTAAAGTCTTCATTTATGTTGGAAGTGATAGCAGAGCTGTACGTTTGAATTTTCTCAGTCAGAACATGCTATATCATGCTTAGGTGGAAGCCAGCGAGCTAACTTCCTGCTAACTTCTAACTCCGTTAAATGTAATAAATTCTGTTTTCATGGATTTTTAACTCTCAGTGTTCGTTTGACTTTGGGACCTGAAGAAGACGGAGTTTAGGACCCAGATTACTCCACGAGGCTCCTGACAACGGCAGCCGTAATGCTCCAACAATCCATCCAGCGGTGCGGCTTCGTAGCTTAGCAAAGTCGCACTAAAACATTTGTCAGATTTTTTAGCGCCGTGCACATAAAATCAGTTCGAGGTCAGTGAGCACAACCAGATTTCATACATGAGGCGCTCTGTCGATTTTTGAGTCAATTAAAGGATTTTAAGTGCGCGTAAAATACGTTATACAGAAGAAAAGAATATATCGCTATATATATCGTTACCGCACATGTTTCAGATTACACCGTGATATGGATTTTAGGCCATATCACCCAGCCCTTGTCAGGTTATGGCTGTGTGCAGGCAGGAGTGGAAGTAGAAGGACCCAATGTGCAGACACTCAGAGGCGGAAAGTAACTCAAAACTCAGCTTTTATTGCTGGATGGCAAAAGGTGGCAAACGTAACAAAAATCCAAATAAACTTACATGACCAGGCAGATGGAACACACAGCATAAATGAGAGTAGATCACGACACAGACACAAAGAAACACAGGGCTCAAATACACAGAGGGAGCAATCAGGGAATGGGTAACAGGAGGGAAACACAGCTGGGGCAAATCAGGCCTAACGAGACAAGGGGAAGCAAAACCAGACACATTAACATCAGACATGGACTTTCAAAGTAAAACAGGAAACATAACACAGACTCACAGGCAGGCACTATAACAAAGGGAACAGAGACGTGGGACCAGGGCAGACACAGACACTGACTGGATGTGGGGAGACAGCAGACAGGGGAGACAGCAACTATGGAACACAGACAGAAAACCAGAACACTAAAACTCTAACCAACCCCACCCAGAGAACCTAAACTAAGAATGATCCTAAAACCCGTAAAGCAAAGCTAGAATATAATGAAATAACAAAATCAAAGAACCAAAAACACAAAACACTGGGTCAACGACCCAGGGACCCTAACAGCCCTAGCCTGCAGCAGGTTGTGTGCCGTCGCGCCATGATCAGAGTGATGCGATATCGGCGCTCTAACATCATCACAGATCTGTGTCCATCTACAGAGACGAGGATGAAAACAGTCGGCCATGTTTGGTTTTCTCCGCGGAGCCGTTCAAGCCCCACGATGACGTTTATTAATCACATGGTTATGAAACAATAACCTGAAGCTACAGAGCGCCGCGTCACAGTCGCACACACGTGAGAGTTCTCAGAGTTCAGTTCTGCGCCGTCAAACCTGTCAGCACACGGCTCTTCAAACTTCCTGTATCCAGATTACTTCCTGTGACGTGCCGTGAGCTTCGCCAACGTGCTGCCGTTTGTCTTTAAACGTCTGCTGAGTGTCAGGAGGCCGCAGCTGCTCGCCGTGGCTCTGAAAGCTCCGCCTCCAGGCTCGCAGCTTCACCTGTCAGTCGCAGTGGCTGCTGTAGCTAGGCAACCAAGCACCTCCAGGCTGCAGCAGCTGCTGTCAACCTCCTGGAGGAGGCGCTGAGAGAGAAACGGATCAGATCAGATTTCTGAGTTTGTGGCGTCGGTACAATCAATAATTTACACTGATCGATTATCTATCGCTACAACCAGCATGCAAACTCCACCCCCTCCACATTAAACAGCAGCTTTTCAAGTTCATCTGAGAGACTCAGAGGGGAAACTCAAAACAGGAAGGGGTTGGCCAGATGTTAAGCAAGGATAACACTTTCAAATTAAGAGCATGAAGGTTCAGTGTAAACACACTTGAGTGTGCAACACGTTTCTGTCCTCATAATTTTATCAAATCAGCTTCACACGACAGCAAAAAGAGCACGCTGACACACGCCAGTACTCTGATTACTCTGAGGCCTTTAATGTAATCTGATAATAAATATGAATATTAATAAGAAAACATATATTACAATATTCATTCATGACAAATAAACAGGAGGCTACGACTCAGATTACAAGAGGAAACACTGCAGGATGATGACATCATGAAGCGTCACGCAACAGGTGACTCACCTGCACGTGTCCGTGTGAGGCGGCGTCCAGCAGCCGGAGGCAGGCGGCGCTTTCATCCATCAGCTGCCGTCTGAGCGAATCACAGAGCTCCGAGTCCGAGGAGACGTCAACCATCAGCCGCAGCAAGCAACGCAGCAACACGTCGACACGACACGCCATCCTGACGAGGGGAAACACGCGAGCACGTCATACGGGACGGTCCAACGCCATCAGGACAGGAAGAAAGTAAAAGCTTCAAACTCGCAGCCGTGTGTGAGCGTGCGCGTGTGTCTGTGTGATCGTGTCCGTTACCGTGGCCACGCCGCTCTGGTCGTCTTCTGCAGCGCCTCCAGCATCCTCAGCCGGTTCGCCTCCTCAGGTGGGTCTCTGACCTCCAGGTACCCGAGCACCACCCGCTCTAGCCGCCACAGGTGTCTGCACACAGCCACGCCCACCCTGCACACACACACACACACACACACACACACACACACACACACACACACACACAGGTGTGTATTCATATCCTTGTGGGGACATCTCATTGACATATGTTTTTCTTAGCTGCTTCCAGTAACCATCACACATGAATGCCCAACCATAACCCGACTGTAACACTAAAACCACAGTTTGGCTTCAGACTCGCGGCGATTCATGCAGCTGGAAAACATTCAAACTGTTCTGAGATCAGATTGAAGCAGCGGCGCCCCCTGCAGGCAGAACAACAACGAGCTCTGAACCCAAAGTCTGATTATCTACAAATTCATAAAAGCCTTTTCTGTTTTAATCACAGCTGAGTCATCAAAGCAAGACTGAAAACATTTAATTAAAACTGAAAAAAAAGAATCATTACAGACGCTAAAAAATACACGCATTTATCATTTCTACATTATTTAATAAATAATTTAATGTATTATAAGTGGGTTTATTATTTACATACAAATGTTTTTCTATAGTAACAGGTAAAAATACATTATCAATAAAATATACCACTTCACAGTAATTAATGTAACCTGTAGCATCTTATATTAAATAGGAAATCATGAAATTATGATTAAATATATTTAAAGTAAAATGAAACAAATTACTCATAATTTAATGTGATGAGCCATATATAGTATAGATATAAAAATATACAAATAATTAAAAATTAAAACGTTTATATTTGTCATTCATAATTAATTATACAAAAATACAAATATAATTTATTAAAAACATTTTAGATACAATCGACATCAACTTTAACACTTTAGTACAATATCGTGAACTCATAATAACAATAAATGTGATCATTACAATGAACAGATAATATTAATAAAGAGTTTGTTTAATGTGTCACATTTTCATCCAGATAAATTAAATCACTGATGCTTCCATAGTAACCAAAGGTCAAAGGTCAAACCCACCTGTCGATGTACGCCGGCAGAGCAGCAGCATAGACGCGCCGTAGCACCACCTTGTTCTCCGCCTCCATGTGGGTCAGCATGAGACGCAGCACGTCGTCATGGCGACACGGCTTCCTGCGGGAGGAGGTGGAAGAGGAGGGGGGCTTCTCCAGAACCACCAGCAGGTCCAAGAGGCAGGACAGGACCAGCTGGGTGGGAGGGGGCGGGGTCAGTGACGTGTCATCAGACAGAGACAGAGTCTGTGTGTGTGTGTGCTACCTGGATGACGGCGGCCTCAGTCCTGTACAGGTGTTTGAATAACGCCTCATAAAGAACCTCGGCTCTGTTGAACTGATGCAGCTCTGCAGGCGGCTAAAGACACAAACACAGACACACACACATACCATCATCATCCAATGCCAGACACGACGCTGAGTGTGTGTGTGTGCATGTTTTTACCGTGTTGAGCACGATATGGTGCAGACAGCGAACTCCCAGCATGCAGTTCTCCAGTCTGTGGTGGTCACTGAAGAGGAGGGAGGGGGGAAGGAGGCGGGACAGGTGAGGTGAGAGTCCTGGGCGGGTCACCTGCACCAAAACACCAACACACAGGTGAAGACAGAGCACCTGATGGGTCAATCAGCTCCAACCTGTTTCACAGAGGAACTACTTTCTGTCCACTGTCTCCATCCGCCAGCCAAAAGATACGCAGCGAGATGGGAGGGCCGTTTGCCTCCCGTCAGGCTTTATCCTGCTCAGCGATGCGGCTGGCGGATGGAGACAGTAGAAAGGAAATAGTTCCTACATGGAGGCTGGAGAAGAAGGTGTGTATGAGAATGAAGCGCACTTCATAAAAGACACCTGCCTCACCGCAGTCCTACACTTCTGCCTTCACAGTCTCACCTGTTCGGACCATACCACCCTCACAGGTAAGCGGGGGACGATCAAAGCATAAGCAACCAAAAATATCTTTAAACACGGGTTGAAGGGGGAGCCTGGCTCCTGCTGACCTCATGCAAACTTCTCTCATTCAACATCTTCAAGTGGCATCGAGAACGCTCCAGAGAAGAGCAGAAAGGGGTCAAAGGTCAAACTGACCTGCAGAAGACTCCAGGCAAACACCAGCTTCACGGCTTCACAGCGCTGCCACGAGTCCCTGCTCTCACACACACACACACACACACACACACACACACACACACACACACTTAAATATTCAACAAACTTGTTTTTGTCTTTTAATCACAGAAAAAATAATGAGCTAGCCAATCACACAAACACAGTTTGAACCAAGTGGAGCTCAGAGCACTGAACACGCATGTTTTAGAATTTCATGTGAGGACGTTTGTACAGAGCAGACATCCCTGCACTCTCTGTGGGGAGAAGGCCAAGGTCCTCACAATGTGGCTGTTCCATCAGGGACTGGTCCTCCTAAGTGATGGAAGGCAAGTGTACACACACACACACACACACACACACACACACACACACACACACACTCTCTCACTTGGTGAGCTGTGGCTGCAGGATGTCCAGGACTCCTCCCAGAATCCCTCTGCTCCCCTCCGTGTCCCCAGCCAGCAGGTGGGCGGAGTCTCTCCACCCTCCTGCACTCAGCAGCGTCTCCAGCAGGCCGCATGCTGCTGCTCTGGAGGCGGAGCTAGTCCACACCTGATCCTGATGAACAAAAGCACACTGGAAATCAAACAGCTGTCAGTGAATGCATCACGGGGTCAGACAGGAAGTACCTGTGCTGCAAAGGTGCATGTTTGATGTTTGCAGACTCACCTGGAAATGTGTGACAGCAAACACGCAGGTGGGTGGAGCAACAGCAAGTAGCAGACTGGTTGTCCGTTCTCTGGCCTCGCCCCCTTTCCGCCTGTCACCCAGAGTTGTTAGCAGAGCCGTGAGAGCGGCACACACCGCCGCTGCCTGTGTGGGGATGCTCTGATAGGCCGCAGCGCTCAGAGGGCTGCAGTCATCCTCACAGAGCGGCAGAGCAGCACAGCCAATCAGAGCACTGATCAGAGAGACATATGCTGCTTCAAGCTCCGCCCACCTACTGTCCTGGCTGGCTGGAGAGAACAGCCAGTCAGATCCAGCGTACTGGAAAAGCTGCTTTATTTGAGCAATCAGAGAGTGGGATTTAGGACGGGAACCAATCAGCTTCTCCCTCAGCTGAGAAAGGAGCTCTGTGATTGGAGGAGGAGAGGAAGGGGACTGCTCCTCTGAGGAGGAGGAGGAGAGATGAAGGTCATGAAGTAAAGTGGAGAGCTCCATCCTGCACGAGAGAGAAAAGGAAAACGTCACAATCTGTGACTCACCTCCAACATTCTCCACAAGCTTTTATTTGAAAGGGCTTCCCACATATTCAGTACCGCGTGCTTCCACCAGGGGCACTGTGACCTCTAAGCTGGGGTCAGGTGATCTGCAGCTGCTGTGAGGCCATAGGTGACCAGATGGGATGAAGGTGGAGCTGGGGTGAACCCAAGCAGACACCTGTCAGTCAAAGAGGCCACTCCCCTAATTATGCTACCTTTAACCTAATCGATGCCTCAGTCTTTAACCCTGTCTAATACCTGGGTTTGGTATGTCCAAAAGCAGGATCAAGATCTAACAGTAAACAACAACCTCACCTTACTACACCTGAGACAGGTGACCTGTAGGGCCGAGGCATTGTCTTTTACAGGTGTAGCATACCTACATGCTACACCGCAGCTCCATCGCAGCTTTCAGACTGTTATGGGTTTTTTGTTTTGTTTTGAAATCAGCCACGCTTTACGAGGAGGATGAAGCTCGTCTTTGAGCTCCTTGTTGGAGTCTTTCTGGCTCCTCCGTGGTTGCATTTCTTCTTCTGCTGTTTTATTGTGGCTGTGTGGCTCAGCAGCAGCCATGTTTCTGTCTGTGATCAGCTGATGGACACTAAAACTCTTCCTCAGATTTAATCAAAAACATTAAAGACTGCTCCACTTGGCTCTATTTTTCTATTTTATTATCATATGCAGCGTTCAGCTGGAGTGCCTGTAGCTATGGTTACTGTACAGGTGAGGACACACCTGTCTCTGCTGGCTTTAACATCAGTCACGGGCAGAGTTTGCACCTGCACACGTCAGTAAAGCGGGAAACCCTGACCTGTGCGCGCGCAGGTACTCGTGCAGTAGAAGCACACCTGCTGCACCTCAGAAACCTGAGCGCGAGGCTCACCTGCACCAACACTCCCACTAAAAATCAATCCCCGCGCGGACAGCCGTGACGTCTGTTAGCTGTGTAGTCTGAGCCGGCCTGATTAACAGATAACCGATTAATCGATGGTTTTTCGTTAAATGAGTGAAACTGACCTGAGAGCGGCTTCAGTCCTCATTCAAATTTACGTTAATTTTACAGGAAAGCAGCAGCGCGTGCACCCACACCCGCGGACTGTTTACGGGTACGAGCGGTGTGCCTGCAATAGGCTTCCGGCTGGGAACAAGCTCCACGTGAAAGGTTCCTGGCCCTGCTCTGAGCTTTAGTGCTGCCTGGGAGTTCGGTCCAACGGTGGAGCCGCGTTCTCCGTGACCTTACAAACACGTCCATGTGTGTTACGTTAAATCTGACACCGACTACATGAACTCCGTGGGCTCTGCCTCCGTTTTCCCACAGGGGAAATCCCTGCATCAGCTGATCGCCTGAAACGCTCTTCTTCAGAACAGGCTTCACTCCTGCGGCCGTCCGAGTGGATCTGAGATTAAAGGTGAGGCGGGGTTTCCTGTGATGGCCAAATGAAGCTTTCTGAAGCTTGTGTTGAAAAACGGCTCATTACTCGAAGCTTTTCAACAGAGTCCACTCTGGTGACATCTGCTGGCCAAAAATACGAAGAGCAGCTTGAATCTACAAAATCAAATGTACTGCTTCATTATGACGGAACACTCCGCAGAGTGAGGTTCTGTCTGATATTGGGCTGCCGTTGTGTTGCTTTGAACATGTATTTTTTGGGGTGAAAAACCACGTCTATTTGTTTAATAGTTTTCCTTCTTTAAACATGTGCCATGGTGTGGTCTTTCTTTGCTTGTGACTTATTGCTTGTGAAATATATATAATATACAAATAATAATGTAAAACACATAATGGAGGATGCTTCTGCTGTGAGGTCCTGCATCCATGTACTTATGCAATTAATCCCTGGACAGCTGGAAAGGTATTTTATAAATAATATTATATTTGACCATTTTTTTTATTCATATTTGTGATCTGGGGGTAGAACTGATTGTGAACTGGAAAGGGAAAATGCTTATGAACTTGTAAAGTAAAAACATGATGCATCACGATGTGTGAGCAGCTTCAAACAAGGTCACCCTGTTCTTATTTAAGAAGAGGATTTGTTCCTCTGTGCGATGGCCGAGTCTGTTTGTCTCTCCTGCCTCAGAGAAAATGCTCTCACATGGAACAGAAGACGCTGTAGAGATGCAGGAGTACGGTCTCCCTGGGTCCCACAGACTATCAGCTAAAAAGAATGAACAAATTAATTTGCTGCACATTTTGTAGAATAACATTTTAAATATTTTTTTGTTATATTACATTTAAAGAGTCAAATGAAAGTCTTTCTAACATTATTTTATGATATTAATATTATGAAAAACAGATTTTTGTTTTGACATTGTAAGTTTCTCATGTTTTAAGATAAAATAAACGAACACAAAACAAAATCAAACAACAAGAACACAAAGCTGGCAAACCCACCCGGCTGACCAAACTCAACTCAAAATTCTCCCACAGACAGAACCTCGTCTCTTCCTCGCTGCCTCCGTATCTCCCAGTCGAATGATCAGTGGTTTGCTGTCTCTTACCACCAAAACACTCCACAAATCTCGTGAATGATTCACTTTCTTACAAACCACTGAATCAGTTAGGTTGTAAACGAAGCTTCGGGCGTCACTGATCACGTGACTCAGGCCAAGCGAATCAAGCCTCGACACAGAGCTTCTGAAGCAGTGTGTTCGTTTTTGTTACACATGCACCGGAGCTTCAAGCAAGCCATCACTACCTGTTACTGTCCTGGGATCAGCAGCTTTCTGTTAAATGTGGTTTGCTGTGTGCTTTATTACACTTTAGTGTTTGGTCTGCTGACGGAGCTGCACCTCAACCCCACCTGTGAGGAAGCCTGAGGATGAAGAGCTCAGAAGCACGAAGCAGCCAATCTGCACCTTTCTCTGATTTTTTAAATATATTTTTTTCTGATTACTGTTTATTGCGGCACAGTTGGTGTGAAGCACCCACGATGTCGTTGTACATGTACAATGACAGTAAAGGGCTATTCTATTCTATTCTATTCTATTCTATTCTAATGCTCAACTGGAGAGATGACAGCACCTACATCCACCACCACTGAGTAAATACTTGTTACTGTACTTAAGGAGCATCTTCACCTGAACATCAACAAGGACGGGATGAGTGTGTGTGTGTGTGTGTATCATGTTTACATATCTTTGTGGGGACCATCAGCCCTTATGGGGACAAAGTGCCGTCCCTGCAAGTTTGAAAGCATCTTTGAAACTCAAAGTGTGGTTTTAGTGTCAGAGTTACAGTCAGGTTATGGTCAGGCATTCAGTTTTGATGGTTAGGGTACACGACTAGGGAAAGCATTATGTCAATTAGATGTCCTCACTGAGACATGAAAACAAGTATAAGTGTTTGTTTGTTTATCAGACCTCAGAGGGCTTCTTTGACCTTTATTGAACTTTATTATTTATTCCAATCTGAAGTGACAGAAACATTCAAACTCTGAATGAAGAAAGACTCCACCCCTCAGTGTGACATCACAGTGACATTCAGCTGCAGGCCGATATCTGCAGGTTCAGGGCAAAGTCCTCCAGCTGGGAAATGTAGTCCATACACTCAGGAGAACTACAGTCTGTCGGCCACAGCTCCAACACGGCCTCCGAGTCCAGAGGGAGGCGATACCTGTAACACGAGCACACAAGCTCAGCCTCGGCCAATCGCGAAGAGCGACAGGTGACACAGAGAGAAAGGGATACTGACTTGTAGTTGTTGTCAAGCGTGACCTCTGACCCACTGGCTCCCATCAGCAGGTACTGTCTGTTGTTCTGGATGTCCATGTCGCTGCAGGTCGCCTTCTTCACCAGATCCACCACGGTCCCAGACCTCACGCCCTCAAAATCTGCAGCAGGCGAGGAAAAACCACAGAAGAAGAAGATTTCACTTCACAGTGCAAAAGTGTTAAGATGTGCTTAAAGGATCCAACGGCTGCTCCATCACTCCCACCACGGTCGGCACAGTTTCATCAAAACCAGCCGGACGCAGAGCCGATCGTGACGTTCGGGCTCTAACGCAGCTGTCTGACAGCTTTCAGAGTCCTGTCAGCTCACCTTTATCTGTGTTCTTGATGACTTCATCTACGGTGGCTGTGTAGGTCATAAAGTCGCCTTCTGCTGCTGACTTCGTCACCGTCACCTTGTACGCTGCGGCAGAAACACAGACACAGTGTGAGCAGCTTCAAACAATCAGGCAGTGAGCTCAGATCACCAAGCTCCTGCTCTCAGACGGGAACATCGAATGTGAGTGAAGTTGGCCCCCCACCTTCTTCAAATCCAACAAAAGTGGTATCAAACGTTTGTGCTCGTTTGTGGTGAAAATTTTTCGTGTGTGCTGCTATCATTTCAAAAATATTAATAAAGTCTTGATGCGTGCTCAATCATCCAGGTAAGTAAATTCCAAAAGGTTGATTCTGTTCATCTGGATATTTTCAGTGGGACAAACGTTTCGTCATCATCCAGGTGACTCCTTCAGTCTCAGCTGACTGCAGGTTTCTCCAACCTTATAAACAGGACATTTGCATAGTGAAGGAAACTAGCACCACTGAATGAACAAAGTGCTGGGGGGTTAGTTCCATGATTGTTAGTATGCAAATTCTTTTGACCATTGATCAATGACAACTAATCAAAGACACAGATTCTCAAATGGCCATGAGTACCATTCACAGAAAGTGGGGAATGGCTGCAATCACAGCATTGACAGATGGTGACAGATGTACCCTTGGGCCCCCCTTCTTGATTCAGAGATGGTCAGCATCCTGACAGCCCGATGGACGAAGCTGTCTCTCAGTCTGTGTGCTCTGGCCCGGAGGCTCCTCAGTGTCCTTCCTGATGGCAGCAAACTGAAGACGCTGTTGAAGGGATGAGTGGAGTCACCTGTAATGGAGAGGACCTTCCGGATGAGGCAGGCGCAGTAGATCTCCTGGGGAGGGAGGCAAGAGAGGTCCCCACAATCCTCTCGGCTGCTGTCACTACCCGTTGTCATTTTTTTCCTGCAGGACCCAGTGCAGGAGTCATACCACACAGTGATGCAGCTGGTGAGGATGCACTCAACTGTGCCTCTGTAGAAGGTGCTCATAATGGGGGTTGGATCTCTTGCTATGGGTCAGCAGAGTGAAGAGAATTATTATGTGCGTAATTATTCAGCCCCTTTGGTCTGAGTGCAGTCAGTTGCACATAGACGTTGCTTGATGAGTGCTAATGACTAAATAGAGTGCACCTGTGTGTAATCTAATGTCAGTACAAATACAGCTGCCCTGTGACGGCCTCAGAGGTTGTCTAAGAGAATATTGGGAGCAACAGCACCATGAAGTCCAAAGAACACACCAGACAGGTCAGGGATAAAGTTATTGAGACATTTAAAGCAGGCTTAGGCTACACAAAGATTTCCCAAGCCTTGAACATCCCACGGAGCGCCGTTCAAGCCATCATTCAGAAATGGAAGGAGTCTGGCACAACTGTAAACCTACCAAGACAAGGCCGTCCACCTAAACTCACAGGCCGAACAAGGAGAGCGCTGATCAGAAATGCAGCCAAGAGGCCCATGGTGACTCTGGACGAGCTGCAGAGATCTACAGCTCAGGTGGGGGAATCTGTCCACAGGACAACTATTAGTCGTGCACTGCACAAAGTTGGCCTTTATGGAAGAGTGGCAAGAAGAAAGCCATTGTTAACAGAAAACCATAAGAAGTCCTGTTTGCAGTTTGCCACAAGCCATGTGGGGACACAGCAAACATGTGGAGGAAGCTGCTCTGGTCAGATGAGACCAACATGCAAAACGCTGTGTGTGGAAAACTAACCCTGCACATGACTCTGAACACACCATCCCCACTGTCAGATATGGTGGTGGCCAGAGATGGGCAGTAACGCGTTACTTGTAACACGTTACTGTAATCTGATTACTTTTTTCAAGTAACGAGTAAAGTAAGGGATTACTATTGCAAAAACGGTAATTAGATTACCGTTACTTTCCCGTAGGAACGCTGCGTTACTGCGTTACTAAAACCGTGATTTTTTGCGAGAATGTCTCATGACAGTGACGTAAGCAAGTGCAACGTTCGTGACAACAGCTGTGTGCAGATCAACAGTGGATCATATATCGAGTGCAGAGAGAGTATGAGCGTGCAGCGTTTAAAGCGTGGAAGTACTGACCTTACTTTGAGTTTGATTCCATAAAAAGTGACAAAAACATTAGTGTCCGCTGTGCGTGGGAAGAAAACTTCTTTTTACAGCGAAAAAACCCCTAAACTTCCAACAAGCAGCGAGTAGCTACGACGTAATGGGAAACTCACAGAGAAACTCGCGGATTCTTCCACTGACCGCGGCACACCTGCACCAGGGTAAACCTCC